ACTGGTAGAGACTGCCTATGGCATTAAGTCCGCCGTTTGCTTATGTTTGACAATAAAGTTTAAATAAATAAAAAAATAAAAATAAAATTAACTGTTCATTTGCATTTTGTTTGCTGTGTCATACTGTATATATTAGGTGTAACTAGACATTTACATCTTAAATATCAAAGTAGTTAGGGCAGACTCATCTCCGCTGGCAGCACCCGTTCACGAGCATGACGCATGAACAAGCCATCGCTTCGCTCAACCATATTTTAGGGAACGTAACGACCCGCCTCATACGGCACCACCGAAGAGACTTTTAAGAGAGTATGACTACCCATAACCACATATATTATTAACCACAACAAATTTACTTAAAATTAAAATAATTTATCTGTAGGACACTACAAACAATTACAAAGCAAAAACAATGGAGAAATCATGACCATGCCGTTTTGTCATTCAAATGTTCTTAAATAATCTGATATTCTTCCTTAAGTAATCAACTTTAAATACAGCTTTCAAATTCAATAGAATTATCGTCAACACATGATATGTAGGTATATATATAGTTCTAGAATAGATACAAGCCAAAATCTGTTTATTTTACACACTGTCCGTGAACCAGCAGGTACTCTATACAAGGGATTGTATACATTACCTAGGCAAAGCATAGAATGGAAAATAATATTGCGGAGCTGGCGAACAAAACGGTATAATTACATAAAAAGGAGCTGTATAAAACTGAATGACATACCTACAGTGAGGTTTTGGCATGGTTTTTAATTTATAAATTTAGTTATTATAACACTGTTTTAGGTGGTTTTGATTGAGAATTATTTGACATTCAAAATCAACGGGTTAGAAACCTCCGAACTGTAAAAAAAAGGAGTTTGTCCAGATGCGTAATTATACCGTTTTGTTTGCCAGCTCATATTTTATAATATGCCATACGTTGCCTAGATGACCCAGGCATTCTATAAAATGCCTGGGTATTGTATAGAATACGATATAATAATAATAATTAATAATATTAATGTGATGAAAGTTGTCATCAATGCATGCTTTCAATTTTTGATGTCATCTTTCAATTGACGACTCTGTATGAAACAAAACAGGGAGAAAAAAATAGCCCTTGCTGAGTTTCTTGCCGGTTCTTCTCAGTACAAGGTCTCCCGCCGTAGATTAACGAACCGATGGCGTAGCGTTTGACTTTCACAAGAGCCTGTAACAGCCTAGACTGAATAAATGAGTTTGAGTTTACGTGAATTATACAGAAAACCGGTCACATATAAACATAGATATATTAATATCATTAATATACTTACGTTCTTGCAGTTTAATTATTTCTAGGTTAGTTCTAGGTGTTAGGTTAAGTGACCAGTCAGGTGGCGCGTGGCACGCAATTATCTATAATCACTTAAGTGTAGTGACGTGCGTTATATGACCGACCGGTATATCGTATACAGGGTTGGTACTGCGATCAATTTAATAGGGACTTATAGGAAGCAAGCGTATTATGTATGTTAAACCGTCATACACCTGTATTGTAAAGTAAATTAAAAAGAAAATGATTACTACTCAAAACTTTGTGGACTAAGTTTCCTTTGCTTTTTGTGTGTGCGAGCATAAGAAAGTTTTGAGCACGATTTCCTTGTTTGACTCGATATACTCGTACATCTCGATAGTGTATTTGGTCGGCTAAGTTACATTTTTATTGCTTTAAAAAGAAAGAAAAAACTTTAGATTATATTGTAAGTACCTATTTGATTTCCGTGCGAGATAATATAATATAATATAACAAAAAAAATATTTAGCTTATTAGCTCCTTAGAATTTAATTGAGACACTTTTCAAAAACGGGTTTAATACCCTATTCCTAGCTAGCTGCCTTGCTAGGTTGTGACGGCAAAATATTACTTTTTCTTCGACTAGCCCCACCATACCGTCGGTAAAGGAACTTCGTTCTAAAAATAGAAGAAAGTTAGAATCATAGAATAATAGAACTACTAGTCCTTCCGACAGGCACGGTGAGAGCAGTGTTGCCACCTTGGATTTTTTTAAGGCGCCAAGTCAAAGGTCAAATAATCGCCAGATTTCAAAAATTTGGATTTAATAAAATACACCATAATCCGCTAAATTACAATTACATTTCTGATAACAAAAAACCCTAATTTAAATAAAAAACCAGTGAATATGTATGAGATGCTACAGAAATAACCGTGAGTAACCACATAGAACATTATGAAATTTCGGAAAGTTAGGGCATTTCCCCCTTAAAAATATGTTGCTAGATTTCATGTTAAAAAACCACTAAACAAATTTACCCGCTAGATGATGAAAATGTACCACTAGAAGCCGTGAAAAAGCACCAGTTCTGGTGGAAAAACCACCAAGGTGGCAACACTGGGTGAGAGGATAACCACATTATTATACATAATAACAAGTAAACTAATCCCAGTTGCGTTCCGTTACAACTCACAATGGCATTCGGGTGTTGTAATTCAAAGTTATTAAAATTACGACCCTAAGCTTTGGGTAAACAAAACCATTATTCCTTGTTCGACTACCGACCGAATCCGCCATCAAAATTTATTGTAAATCGACAATAGTACGGCATTCGGAGCTATCTAATTCCCGTGAAATTACCGCGACGAATATTATTATGGATCATCGTGATGTTTAGGAAATCGATAGAGCGGCCGTGCGAGAGTTGTTTGCTTGCTTCGGGAATCGATTCATCGCGTCGATCCTGATTACATATCGAATGGATCTCGTATGCGAGATGTGTATGTACATATTAACAAATAATGTTACATAAAAAAATCTATATTTTTTTATGTAAAACGTAGAGCCAACATTTTTTTATATACAAACACACATCCTACCATAACATTTTTCCGGGATAAAGAGTATTCTATGTCTCAATCCAGGTCTTAAACTATGTACCTATATGCGTACAAAAATTCAACTAAATCCGTTTTAGTTGTTTTTTTTTAAGCATTAAACTGCTAGATGTTTAAATCTAAAGATCTACATTGTGGGTTGTGGTACCTACAATGCGAAGAGATGGCGCTGCCTTGCAGCTTAAGGCTAGGAAAATTTCGACGCGGCCATCAGGGCCGTGGTAGCATAATTGGTCAGTGCATTCGCCCGGATTGCGAAGGGTGCGGGTTCGAGTCCCGTACGCTGCCTGGTCCGCGTGGATTTTTTTTCAAATAAATCCGTTTTGTTTCTGAGTACTTGAGTAACGAACACACAAACATGTATTTATATTTAACATATACAAACTTACAAACAATCACATTGATGATATTAATAGGAAGAAGGATTTGTTGTTATTATAACAATAAAATATACTACCTAAATACATAAGTAACTATTCTGTGAAATTTTCAAACTGTTTAAATAATACGGTTCATGAAAATATGTTTGTTAGAAACAGAGGCATAGTAAATTTCCAGTGGCACCTTTTAGGCACGGACCCCTAAAAAGGGTTTCATCGAGCAGTTAAATTATTTTTAACGTTAATTTATGTGTTAACTAGGCGTAATGATGAATAGGAGTCTTTCCGCCATTCGTTCGAATGAGTGAATGAATGATATATAAATTCACCACTCGCATAATCGCGTTTATGAACATTAATGATTTATGAACGCTGCGGCTTAGCCGGAACACTACACACCTCTGTATATAAAATATCTATATACATAATTAATCTTTGACTTATTGTGCTAACATATCCACACTGACTATGATCGAAGTCGGAATTATCTCTATCCATATTGCTTGTCTTTTAATAGTTCAATAGTTTTTGGGGTTCCGTAGCAAAAGTCAAACGTAATCTTTTCAATATGTTTGTCAGAACAGGATTTTCCAACGGAAATAGTTTAGACAGCTGAAAGGACAATGGGCAAAAATGTATGGACGCTGCACCCACGTCCGCCACGGCTTAAACTACATTTGCTTGAAAGGTAATATAGTCATGATTATTTGTGCCAAAGCGCATCAAATTCCATCCCGGGAGTCTTTAGTTATTTTAAGTTAAATAGGTACAAGTACTATGACGAACGAACATTAATGAAACAAGGGAATTAATTTAGTTAGTTCGACACTACATAGGGGGCTCAGGTATTATGGGAGTACTTCACAAGGTTCAAGGATTTTACAAACCGATAATTGTGTTCCAATGTCCAAAGCGTGTTAGATAAAAATCAATCAATGACAGGGAGCGCACAATCATAACGAAGTAAAACGAATCGACTATTTGCAACTGCAAGTCCTTCAACCCCTGTAAACCGTTTTGAGGTGGCTCAGTAAGTGCAAGCGCAGGATGGTCGGCAGGCTTTGTCGTATATCTGGTTGTATAGTACCATATTATTATGGTTACTAATAATATAAAATAAAGGTACTATAAAATTCATTTATTTAGCTACTGAAATATGCCCATGTGTCATATCGTTTGACTACCAGGATATTTTTACGGTGTCATATCTTTTGACGCCCAGGATATTTTTTTACGGTGTCATAATAAAAAAGGCTAGTTTTTCATAGATCTATCGATTCATACTAATTACATTGTTGGCGGAGCTGGGTGCGTTTTGCCCATTGTCCTTTTCATAGTCTAGCAATGCCGCCGTGATGGAAAAATATTACCTTAATTAATTAAACCTTAATTTTTTAAGCTTGTAACTGCTTGATGTCTAAATCTAAAGAAAATATTACTAGAAAAAAATCCGCGCGGACCAGGCAGCAGACAGGATTCGAACCCGCACTCTTCGCTATCCGGACGTATGCACTGACCATTATGCTACCCCGACCTTAATGTCCTTTTCGAATTCTTTCTAGCCTTTTTTAAGCTGCAAAGCAGCACCATCTCTTCGCATTTTAGATAACCCACAATCTCACACGTTTTTCGCCTAGACCCTGTCCGAAAAGGAACTTCGTTCCAAAAATAGATTTTCCACTATTTTCCCGACTTTTTTATGAAGGTAAATATAACATTTAACTACCGTACAGATCTACCAGCGACCATTACGTCTGCCACCGCACCGCTCGGAGACCCCCCGTCGAGGTCAAAGTGCTTCCGAAATAGGATACACGAGATATTTCTCCGCAAGAAATTATCCCAGCCTCCTTCCTAAGGCTGCCTGCCTGCCGACCGAGCGACCACCGTATCCGGTTTCCGACTTAAAAAATATTGCGGTAATATATCCAGAAGCTGGGATTAACTCCGTACTAATGTTTGTGCAAGAAATCATAAGACAAAATGTTTGCCGCCCACCGCTAAAGAGAAAATAATGCGCCCTAGGGTATTTATTTCGAAGGTTTACTTTGCGCTCGAGATGGTCCGCTGTGTTTCGTTTGCCTTAGTAGTCTCTTTTTGTATGGTAATAGATTTTTTGCTTTATTCTAAAATTCTAGAGATGTAGGTATAATCGAGGAAAATCGCGTAGAATGAAAGCAAAGTGCATAAAATCTATATATATGAAACTCAATGGTGACTGACTGACAGTGATCTATCAACGCACAGCCCAAACCACTGGACGGATCGGGCTGAAATTTAGCATGCAGGTAGATGTTATGACGTAGGCATCCGCTAAGAAAGGATTTTGATCAATTCTATCCCCAAGGGGTTAAAATAGGGAATGAAAGTTTGTATGAAACTTTGTCAATTTTAAACCGATCGGGCTGAGACTTTGCATGCAGGTATAAGAAGAATCATAGATGAATGTCATTGTGTATAATACAAGCCTGAGAACAAAAACTGTAGTCTACACTTCAGCTCTACACCGAAACGAAGCGAGGGCGGGCCGCTAGTCTTATATATAAAATTCTCGTGTCACAATGTTAGTTACCATACTCCTCCGAAACGGCCTGACCGATTTTTATGAAATGCATATTCCGTGGGTCTGAGAATCGGCTACTAGCTATTTTTCATATCCTTAAGTGGTTAGGAGGAATATTCTTCCACCTGCCTGTATTTTAATGGCGGTACGAAGTTCGCTGGGTCAGCTAGTATGTATATGTCGGAGGGGCGAGCGGGATATAGGCAGTTTGCCACGTGGTTCATCTTGATCCGCCATCTTGGTTATTCAATGATATTTCCCGAAAATAAAACTGTAGTCTAGTGACCAAGCTAACGTTTAATTTGAATCTTCTAATCACTTTACAAAATCAGCAATGATTGCAAAGGTACAAACGGATTGCTTTGCGAAGCGTGGAGAGTTCTGTGCTAACGTCCGTTCACTATCGCGGCTCACGTCTGAATGCTGAATGCCCCTTCCAATGAAGCGTTACCCCCTTAAATACTACCCTTAGCATAGACCACTCCCAAGTGATGACAGCTGTCACTGTCATTACTTGACGTTTCACAAAGCAATGGTACACTGACTGATGACATTTGTTGTCGGTTTAGCGTTTCGAAGGAGCGAGTGAGACGCCATCCGCCGACATATATATAAGACTTTTATTACAGCTACGTAATATGTTTGGTCAATGTTAAAATATTAACTGCAATAACGTAATCTCGATATTATTTAAAAAAACTCGCATAAACTTAAACATTTTTTCGCTAGAACTACATAAAACTTTTATTACATAACTAGTGGCCGCGCGCGACTTCGTCCGATTTATCTTTAGTTGTTTGATAATGCCATATAGGAACCTTACATTTTGCCGGGATAAAAGTATCCTATGTCTCAATCCAGATCATAAACTATATGCGTACCAATTTCATCCAAATCCGTTTATTAGTTTTTCTGTGATTCAGCAACAAACATACAAAATTTCTCATTTTTTGTAATATATTAGTAAGTATAAATACTTGTCAATGTCAAATCGATTGACGTAACTTCGAAGAAACCCACTTGAAATCACTTCCGTCCGTGTATACTCACATCGAAAAGTCCTGAACGAATGGTAGAGAACATTTGTAGACTATTCAAAAGTTATTTATGATGCCATGCCCCCAAGCGATTTAAAATTCCTAATAATGATTGGATATATTATCTTTTGTTTTAATTATTTTTTATATGTATAACAACATCTTTCCTCTCGCTTTCGTGCAATTTGTGGGAGTGATTACGTGAAGTGGGACGGAACTGTGTAACAGGAAGTTTGGAAAGCGCGCTCTGATTTGATTTTAGAACATAAATTTCAAATGGCTTATTCCTTTTGTAGTAGGTTTTATTTCTTTTTTTACTAATATAAGGTGAGGTTTCAAATGTTACACATCATACGCGACTACTGTAAGGCTCGCTTGTTTTTGAACATTCTATTAGGATCATACTGATGAGAAGTATAATTGATTTGTTTAACTTATCTCCGACATTCGTAGAAAATAATCAGTCCCCCTGATTTATATTCCCAATACAGTGGATCCCCGGTAGTCCTACAAACATTTTGCAGGGCAGTGTCGAACTATCGAATTTGTCGGATTATAGAGTACTGCCTAAGACCCCCTATAGTCCGATTTTTATTACAAAAATGTACCTTGTAATCCGACAAATTACAGATCCATTGATAAGATTACAAATCATACTTCGTTATGTATGTCAAATTTAGTAAATTAAACAACACAATAGAAAGATTACGTTTTATTATAAAAGTAATAATATAAATAGTGATGGTGCGTACCAGTTGTAACTTGTTCAATCGTGAATTAGCGAATACTTGTATTTAATAGACGATGTCGGATTATAGGGGGTGCCGCATTAGCCAGGGGCCGGATTACCGGGGCTCCACTGTATTTTTCTTATAAATTTCTCTAAACTTTTTTCATCTCGAACCGGACTTATAAAAGAGGGGGAGGTGTGGACATTCATAAAATCATCTTATTCCTATTTTTATGAGCTGTATATATCAAACAACGGCAGTAATAATACCGGCCGCGCCTTTGTTTTGAATAAACAAATATTTGCCCGAATTTATGTGCCCGTATTTGATTTATTGCGTAAATAAATCATCACAACTCTATTTTCAGACTCCACTTTGCATTTTCATCCGGGTAACGTTTATGTCTTTATAAAAGTATACAGGGTGTAAAAAAACCGTTAACGAAGTAGAAGGCCACGTATTTTCCACATCATGACGATCATTTTTTCTTTTGGACCACACCTGGGAAAGGAGATTGCTCAGCTTCCATACATGTTTGGCCTAAAAACCAATAACCATGAAAAATTGTTTCCTACATTCGAAATTATATATAAATTACCGTAGAAACGAATATTATCGACGGCCACTCCTGAGAACTTCTATAAACCATATACACTGAATGATTTTGAGGTTATGTTTGCAAATAGGCACATAGGTATTAGAATAATAAAAACCAAATAACTTATATAGGAAAATAGGGCAATCAAGCCAAGTACCTACCGATATTATGTATTAGATTCAGGTATATAGAGCATGTAAAATAACAGATATGTGCATGTTTTTAAAAACACGAACAGAAACTGTGTGATGATTGTGAATGAGCCACAGATTAGAGAGAATTTTTAAACTCTCGTTAATCAAAGAAAGCTAAGAGCTGTAGGTTATACAGCCATATCTTCAGCAGCTTCATTATGTTTGTTATGTTTTTATTATAACCATATTTTAGATTTTTAGTGTATCACACCTTATAATGTGTTTATTTAGGTGTTTGGCAACAAATGTACGTCAATAGACTTTATGATGTCGCCTACCATCTATATTAATTGTCTTAGCACATTTGCATGTAGTAAAAATGATAATAAAGTTGTGGATATTAATACCACCCGTGTAATAAAAAAAATATATATTTTATCAATCTTTACAAAATAGATTTGTTTTGATGTTATATAAACAACCTCGATCAGTCTTTGTGAATGTTACCACACCCATAGCCAATAAAAATGATTCGTATGTTTTCAAAACCGGTAAAAATAGAAGTCCTTTTTTAAAATTAATATATTATTTAAAGGTGGCCGTTAAAATCTAATGACTGTAAAATAAAGTATAAATTACGCCAAGAATTACTGTATATGTCAATATTTTATTTGCATTTAGGCCAATTTGACCAATCTCCTTTATGGTTATGGAGATATTGAAGGTCAAAGACAAAATATTTTTTTATACATTAATATTTTCAAAACGTTATTTAGAAACTTTTTTATCGACATACATTACATTTTGTAATATGACTTGTTTGGGTGTACAGAATGCGTAGTTTAAGTCTTTGTCATAGGTTTTTTTAACACCCTGTATATTTTTGCCTTTTACCCCTCACGCTTTACTGTTCTAATTCTCTCATGGAAGGAAAATGATGCACATGGCCTAGAGTGACATTTTTCTGTTCATAGAATAAATAAATACATATTTCCAACACTCACACCAATTAGTCTAGCCCCAAAGAAAGCACTGTAGGGCTTGTGTTATGGGATACTAGGGTAACGGGTAAAATACATATACAGTACATTTATATAAGTATATTATAGATGCACTACATGCTGAGCGACGTGAGCTATTTAAAATAATACTCGCTCAGCGATGCCCGCTTGGCCGATAGACCGAGCGCGCATTTTTGCTTAGAACTACCTCCAGGACCTGGTGGCGCGAGTAGTCGCCCGTCGTACTTATAAGCGAGTGTGCAAGTTTCATCCCTGAGCTAATAGCCCATAAAACTATCGCTACTCGCTTCCCGCCGATTTTCAACTCGTTTATAGTTTGTAAGTTAGAAACTATTGCGAGTATAGTCGCTTATAAAATTTTAAAAATGATAATTCGGATACTCTGTCCAGATAGTGTGTTCAAGTCGTCACTTACTCACTTACTCTCTCGTTTATTTATTTTAACTTTTTGCTATAATTACAAACATTTTGTCCATGTTTGTAATTATGGCAAAAAGTTAAAATAAAGTCAAAGTCGGAGTTAAAGCCTAAAGCATTCTCTGCCAGTCAACCTTTAGGCATATATGCACGATTCATTGTCGGCTGTGGAACAAGTGCCTATATTGTTCTATAGAGTCATCTATCAATATTTTCCTATGGCCTTCCTAGGACCTACGCACCAACCTCCGTGCGTGCTCATGTGCCTAGTTCCAAAGAGTCATCTATCAGTATTTGTCTATGGCCT